CAGAGTTTATGTGGGGTAGCAAGGGAGATCTAAGGTAGAAAATTATTGTGGCTTCCCATGATTCACCACAAGGGGATCATTCAGGTATTCAAGCTACTTATCAGAGGATTAAAGCTTATTTTTTTTGGCCAAAGATGAAGCTTATGATTCAGGAACATATACAGCAATGTGAGGTATGTCAGAGAATTAAAAGTGAGCACATTTCCAAGCCAGGGCTACTACAACCTATTCCAATTCCACACAATGCTTGGGAGGTTATAACAATGGACTTTATTGAAGGGTTGCCACCTTCAGCAAAGCACAACTGTATTTTGGTGGTGATTGATAAATTTACTAAGTATGCTCATTTTATGCCACTGTCACATCCCTACACAGTGGTGCAAGTGGCTAAGATATATTTGGATCAGGTTTATAAGCTTCATGGTCCTCTTAAGGTAGCTATTTCTGATAGAGACAAGTCTTTCACTAGTCTATTCTGGCAGGAGTTACTTAAGCAATTGGGGACAACTATACTTTTCAGTACTGTTTATCATCCAGAGACAGATAGGCAAACTGAGAGACTCAACCAATGCTTAGAACAGTATCTCAGAAGTATGTGTTTTTTAAAACCTACATCTTGGTCTAAGTGGATAGCCCAGGCAGAGAGTGGTGGTATAACACTAATTACCACTCTGCTATTAAAATGACCCCATTTGAAGCCTTATATGGTTATAAGGCTCCTGTGTTAAACTGGTCAGGGGATTCTAGAGTGGATGCAGTTCAAACTATGATGCAAGACAGAGAGCAATTCAATGCTTTACTATGTGAACAACTCATGCAAGCTAATAATAGAATGAAGCAGATTATTGATAAACATCGTACAGAAAGGGATTTTCAGGTGGGAGAGGAAGTTTACCTAAAAATTACAGCCTTACAGACATACATCACTCGCTCTAAGGAGAAACCTAAAGCTTGCTGCTCGATATTTCGGTCCCTACAAAATATAGAAAAAAATTGGTCAGGTTGCATATCGACTGGAATTGCCACTAGAGTCAAAATTGCATCCAATGTTTCATGTTAGCTTGTTGAAAAAGAAAATAGGGAAACAAGGACTTATCTCGCTGAATCCTGCAGAAACGTCTTCGGATGGGCAATTGAAGATTTACCCAACCGTTGTCTTGAATTCACGAGAGATTACCAAACAAAAGCAGCGGGTCATGCAGTTCCTTATACAATGGACAAATATGGGACCAGACGATGCCACTTGGGAAGACTACACGGTGTTGAAGAATCAGTTTCCTGATTTCGATTCTTGGGGACAAGGATCATCTGGTGGAGGGGGTATTGTTATGATGGAAGGGAGATTAGGGTTTGATCAGAAGGAATTGGGGATTACTCGAGGAAGGCAAATGGGGAAAAATCGGCTGAAATTGGAAAATGAAAGGGAATTAGGGATTGAGATGTTACCTGAGGGATTTAGGGTTGAGGCAACAAAAGGAATGAGGTTGGGTGGACTACAGGAGCAGGTTGATATTATTAATCCTTAGCCAAATGGGCCCAGTCAATTAGTGACCCAGAACAGAAGGAAGTTGAGGGAAACAAGCCAGCACGTGAGCCCACTTGGAGATATCCTGTGAATCAGCAAATGAGTAGTTAGTTTGTTAGAATTGCTGGCAGAATTACAGCTGTAGGTACTTATGAATATATAAGTTGTACCTGAAATCAAAGGAAAATCATGAATGAAATTACACGTTTCTGTATCTCTCTTTCTTTCTGAAATCTCTCATTTTCTTTACAACAACCCTAAGACACAACAGACAACTGCCGTGCTTGTTCACAATCATAGCCTATATGTATGGGGAGATTCATGGATCAGTGCTAAAACTCAGGTTTGAAAAATTGTGCAAATCTCAAGTTCAAACTGGTCAATTGAAGTTCTATATTTTTTGCTTATCATGATTCATGTGTATAGGATAAATTTCAGATTCTTACTTGTATAAACACTTTATTACAAATCGGTGCTCAGATTCTTGCATGTTGTGGTAGTCATGTCGACTTTCTTACTTCGGCGTTGACTTACTATTTCAGGCTGAATGTTACCATTACCTCTTTGATGCTCTATTAACTCCATCAACTAGGCTTAGACTGGTCCACTCCAGATCATGGCCCCATTCAGAATGTTAAGGATTTTCAAGCGTCAATAGCAGGATAATGTGTCTACTAAAGCAGGGACAGTGGATTCAAACTATAAAATTGAGCCATATCCGGTAAGAACTTTACATTTTCCCCTTCAATATGACATTCTGTGTTTACTAGACATGATAGTGTTTCCTTTGTAACAAAAAATATTTGACGTCCGGATGACATTGTGGTAGACAGACTCTTGACTGTTTTATTGCTAAACAAGAAGATTGTTGTATTCATTTATCGAGAATATGCTCCCACTCTACATTTTTCCCCTGTTGCAGCACTGCGTTGTGCTTGACATTGAAGGAACTACAACTATTTCATTTGTAATGGATGTTCTCTTTCCCTATACGCTAAAAAATGTCGGGAGTTTGTCTGCGACATATGATAGTGCTGAAACCCAAGTTGTTATAACTTGATACGTTCTCAAGTAAGGTTTTTCTTTGGACCTTTTTACCTTTTATCTTGTTTTACTGACATCCGGTCATAAATCATATGCTTCTCTTCCTTCAAATTGATAGTCGGATCTGATGACGATTTTGGCTTGATACCTAAGTATAATGCAATCAACTCTCTCACTTTCCCCAAAATGATATGCTTCCGATCTATGTTCAATTTTTATACATTAAACAAGAACATGCAAAGAACTAGTCATCTGTGCAATATCATGCATAACTAATGAACCATTATATATGGCTTCAGAACCCTTTATAGTTTATACAATTCTCGGAACTTTTGTTTGTATATATAGAATCACTGTATATCATTGTCATTAATGATTTGCTAGTTTTCTGTTATCAATGATTTGTGTGCCAAACCCTATCCCTTTTTTGGAGTATCTGTTTTGCTTGACATGCATATAGGAAACCCGAATAAATATTCAATAATCTGTTTTTTGGTGTGCATACAGGAATCAAATGAATTTAAGGGCACTTCTTCAGCTAATTTTCTGTGGTTAAGGCAGTGGGATTGTTTACCTTATAAATTAGCAATGAAAGAAGTGTGGATTGACTCCTAAACGATATGCTTATATGTGTAACATGTTTTCCACAGGTTGAGGATGACTTGAAGCGAGGTGTTACTGGTGCTGTACCTATCCCCTCGGAAGAGGCGGGAAAAGAGGAGGTGATTGCATCTTTGGTTGCTAATGTTGAAGCAATAATAAAAGCCGATCGAAAAATTTCTTCCTTAAAGCAATTGCAAGTAAGCAAACATGAATTCAAAGAAAATACATTTTCGTATCTTAGCTTACCTAGAGGAGAGGACTAATATGAAATTAAATAGGGTCGTATATGGCGTACTGGATTTGAGAACAACGAGCTGGAAGGAGTTGCGTTGTTCTTGATGATGTACCAGAGGCTCTTGAAAAGTGGCACGCTTTGGGTATAAAGGTATTGTTACGTATTTCCATTACTATTCTTCAACTTTATTTTCGGAATGTGGTTCTCGATACAATGTGTATATGTTGTGATATGTTTCCATGCATCTGCTCCAGATTGCAGTATATTCACATGACGTTTTAATCATTCCGCCAAACTGAAACTAATTATCCTAGTAGATAGTTATCCACTCGGAACTAGTCTAGATCCAAATTCAGGTTATTGTATGTTCGTCCTACTGAGTGATCGTAAAGCTGTATAATCCCTTAGCATAGCACTGAAATTTTTCTAGTATTTCTGAGAAGACTTGTATTATCTGCGACGAGAAACATAATTTGGTTTAAAGGGTACTTGACCCTTTAAACATCTCTCTCCCTTCAGAAAGGATCTTACTAAGTTCTCAATTATTTACGGAAAGTTCGAGTTTCAGTGCTAATATTTGCTTCCTCATCCATCACAGGTATACATATATTCCAGTGGTAGCAGGTTGGCTCAAGAGGCTTATATTGGAAATACAAACTACGGTGATTTGAGTAAGTATTTATCCGTATTTTTTGACACATCGGTAGGGTAAGTTTATTACCTTACCTTCATAGTTTGCTTTTATACTTGATTTCAACTGAAAAATGACTCTGTATCCCCTTTTCATGCTTGCAGAAACAAAAGAGAGACACGAAGTTATGTCAAAATCACCGAGTCATTGGGAGTTGATAAACCATCTGATATACTATTTCCAACTCTGTATCCCCTTTTCATGCTTGCAGAAACAAAAGAGAAACACGAAGTTATGTCGAAATCACCGAGTCATTGGGAGTTGATAAACCATCTGATATACTATTTCTGACCGATGTCTATAAAGAAGCCACTGCTGCAAAAGCAGCGGGTAATAAGAATCACAACCCAAAAGCGTAACGAATTGCCCTAAGAATCACATCCTTTGCGTACATTGTCAATGAAGCATGTTCCTGAACTGTTTGGACTTTTAGACCGGCTTCTGATTTCGTGTTACGAAAAACCTCCAGTTATTAATTTCATCTTTATTGGAATCGTAGGTTTGAAGGTCATAATCTCCGTCAAGCGAGGAAATGGTCCTCTTCCGGAGAACCACGGATTCAAGACTGTCAACTCTTTCCTGGAGATCTGATCTGATAGAAGCTTCGTACTTCTGTAATAAAATCGACAGTGAAATTTCATGCACATAATAAATCCCCTTTGGATGCCATATATATTTGATTTTGGACAATTTAAGTGTGAATGCTGGAAGGTTTGCAACTCTCTTTTACTGCGATACGGCAAAACTTGCACATGCCTTTATAGACTCCATTACAATTGGTCCATTACAGAAATTAAAATGAAAAACACCAAATTTTTTTTATAAAATTAATCATAGTTGTATAAGACAAATCCGAATTTCCATCGCACCTAAATCCGAATAACTTTAACACCTCATTGCAATTTGTCAAACGGATGAAAGACAATTTTAGAAATACTACAAAATCAAAAGTTCATGGTTTCGGTCTAAGAAAAGCATTAAGACTGAACTATCAGCAACATTATGGGTTTTAGTACACATCCCTGATGGGATGCGACAAACGAAATTAACTAACTTTAACCACTATCAACCGATAAAGTTTGTCTATATAACTCAGTTCTGGTTCGATTTTAACTTTCTTCAAGCAAGATAATAGTAACCCAGAGCTATAAGTATCAACACCACCACCGCAGCTGGAACAGTCCACATCCAGTAGTTGGTCGACTTCTTACGTTTCAGGATGGGTCTCGGAAGTGAATCACGACCTTTAGTTCGATTCCTGTGCCTTACAGTGTTCTCCTTTTGAACTTTATCCTTCACTGCAACAGGAGCCGGTGCATCAGCATTTTCTTCTTGTTCAGGTTCAGGGGCCTCGGCCACAGCTTCAGTCGGTTCCTCATGATTTGCAACGGTTGAAGATGCTGCTGCCTTCTTCTTTGCTTTCTTCTCTCGCTCCTGAAGGGGAAAAAATCAAAATCAGATCAATTTGTATCCACAAACAAATTATCAACAGGCAAAACATGATGAAAGAAGGAAATAATTTCCTTGAGCTTCTTTTCAGCTTCCTTTTGAGCTCTTATAGCTGCTTTGGCTGCTTTTTCTTCAGCCTTCTTCTTCTTCCTTTCCATGGCTTGCTTTGCTTTTGCTATTTCCTCTACTCTCTTCATTTCTTTCAGTTTTACTGAATCAATTTCCTTGTCAGCAGATGTCTTTTCGGCTTCCTTTTGCAAGTTGCCGGATCCAGATCTCTCTTTCTCTTCTACATCATCATTCTCGGGAGACGATTTTGACTCTATTACTTTGGTCTCGGCAACTTTCTTGCCTTTTTTTGGTAATTTAGTATCTGGTTCAGAAGGTTTGGCTTCTTCCTTTGGTTGTCGGACAGTAGGTTTTGGAATCGTTTCTGGTGGAGATGCAACCGGTGCCTCTTGTACAACCACTGGTTTCTCATCAGGATTCCTTATCCGACCATCTTGACTTAATTGCCTCTGGTCCAAGGACGGTAGAATTCTTTTTTCGTAATCGTCTCGGACAGCTTTCTTGCTGCTCCAAAGAGCCATAAACTTCTCGACCTACAAGCAACAAAAGATAAGAGAACAGCCAAAAATTAATGCAAATGAGACGTTTTGGACGTAGCATTAATCGGTAGTCTTAACAAACCTCAACAGTTGAAAGCTCCTCAAGACCCCTTGTATCTTTCTTTGCAGCTAGCTCTTTCGCTTTGTTTAAAAGTGAACGGCTCTGGTAAAAGTGAGCATTCTGAAAAATTGAAAAATTTGTAATTAAAATGAGTCCTAATTCCGAAATACATATCAAACAAAAAAACATAATATTATCACAATCAATGACCGAATCAGCTTTGGAAATGACCAAAAAAAGAAACGTTAAATTTTAACTTTTAGCATTCATTAGCAGAGCCAAGAAGAAAAACATCCCACATGAGAGACCTAATCGTTCTGAAAGGCTTGCATCTATACATGCACATACATTAAATAAGAGAAATCAAAAGAAGCAAAATAGAGCATCTCATTCTCACCGGGGAAAAAATATTCAATTTAAAGCAAAGAACGACATACCGCCTCATCACGTTGTTTCCACAGTTGTTGCATGGTTTCATAAGCTTTGTTCCTCTTCTGGATCACGGCATTCAGCTCTTGCTGTAAAGAATCAATTTTACTCTCTATTGCACTCACTTTTTCTTTAATTTGCTTTTTCTTGGACCAGATAACATTTTGTTCCTTCCTTACACCATCCAAATCATTTCCCATGAGCTACAATGAAACAAATATAGCAAGTTAATTAGTCTATTTTTGCGATAGTAATACATGAGGGGGGAAGCAAATTCTGATGGATAAAAAACAATTTTTTTTTACTTTAACTTGATCTTGAATGTCTTCTTTCTGACCCAGTGATTCCTGAATCTTTGATCTCACTGCAGCATTAGCAATAACTTTGTCCCGGGTTCCCTCAAGTTGTTTGATTTCTCTAAGGAGTTGCTTCTCCTCGGACAATGGGATGCTTTCATGCTGGATGCGATATTGCAAGCTATAGATCTGCAATTTATCAATTCCCGATAAGTGACAAAAGAGAAAAAAACAAAGGATTAACTGCAGCCGAAAACAATGCTTAAATCCCAATGCTGTCAAGTTTACAATAGTAGCATACAATATCATTGAGCTCTTCCTCAGACGAACATAAACCGCCACGACCACCACCATTGTTATTATTGCGAAGTTTGCCTAAAGCCTGCTGCAGTGGTTCCATTTCCTTCTTTTTCTCACCTAGCATTGTCTTAAACTGCTCGAAATCAGCATTCAGGGCTTTCACTTGAGAAAACAACTCTGCTCGATCCGACTGCATTAACATAAAGATAATAATTTAAAAGGCAGCAACCCAATGATTTTTAGAAACTATTTTGCAATTTGGCTCAACTTAAGGCAAATAAACCAATGAGGAACCATTATACCAAATACTATTCAGAACCACGTGTAAGAAAACAAAACTATATATCCAAATATTCATTTCCTGCTCAAGGACTTTTGTTTCCAACAAGCGGATATACGCATTCGAGGATTTAATGTTTATAACAACCGTTTTATCAGATACACCACGTGTATTTGGCTCAACTTGAGGCAAATACACCAATGATGAACTATTATACCCAATACTATTCCGCACCACGTGTAAGAAAACAATACCGTATATCCAATTATTCATTTCCTGCTCAAGGACTTTTGTTTCCAATGACCGGAGATATGCATTTGAGGGTTTAATGTTTCTAGATTCATCATAAAACAATAAACACATCCAATTTAATTTAGATCAAGTTTTAAAGACCCATCACAACTTTTATTGCACCTAAACTTTCGGAACAGATGAAAAGCAAAACAGGAACCATATAAATATCCTAAGAGCACAACAACAGCTAAACGAACTAGATATTATAATCGACATTAATTGCATTTCACTCACCTTGAGTGATTTTAATTCATCAGTAAGCTGAAACCTGACTTTATTCAACTTTTGCGTTTCTTTATCAACCTGATCGATTTTGGCCTTTATCTTTGGATCATCAAAAGGGCGATACCTGATAAAATAAAAGGAGTGGATCTGCTTAGGAGCAGGCCACTCGGTGACAGCATCAATCGGAAAGTCGGATACATTTTTCTCTTCTCCCTTATTTGGTTCCTCAACATCGGAACCAACTTTAATGGGCTCAGTATGAACCGGATCCTTGTCCAGTTTCCCATTTTCCTTATCATGAAGAAGTGATTTGTCAACTTCAGTTGCTTTGTCGAATGGTACTTTTGCCATTTCAGATCCCACAACTTCAACACCCATTAATCACTAGAAAATTAAAAGCCTAGTAAAATTAAAAAAGACAAGAGAGTAAGATATCACATAGTATAACAATATATATACTTTATGAATCTAAAATAAAATAAGAAAATCATTCCAAGCTATTTGTTCCGCTAGATTTTAGTAAACTGAATTAAAAGCGATGAAATATATGAGATAAACAACAGACGATTCAAATTTTTATCTTGACTCTACATGAGATCTTTAGAAACAAGATCAAATCAGATAATCTGCACAACAGAGACACATGATTGATTAATTACAATAAGATAAATCCAGATCAAAAATTGAAAGGAATAAAAATCACAACAGATTTAAAAACGCAAACACCAAGATCAAGCCTTCATCTAAGCCGACATGCAAACCAATAACGACACAATTAAGAAGTACCCAGAATTTCCAAACAACCAAAAAAAGTCAAAACAGATCAAAATAAAAACAAAAAAAACAGAGAGAAAAACATAAGAGAAATTGAAAGAGAGATCAAAGGATTACCCTTTTAGAGAGATCAATAGAGAGGATAAGGAAATCCTTTGAAAGAGGAAAAGGGGTTTTAAAGAGTTTTTGGCGAAGCAAAGGAGAGATGGGGTCAGATCTTGGTCCCTTTGTCTTCTGCTTCTTTTTCAAATTGTGAATGAACTGCAAGATTGAAACACCATTGGATTTATAACTACAGTATCAATGGCAGGTAAAATATAATAAAAAGGATAGATTAGGTCAGTAAATATAGTAAAAAATTTGTATTTGGTGGGTCCCCATTTTCCCCCCAGTTTCTCCACGCAGTAAAACAAACCGTTAAAAGGTTTTTGTTAGTTTTATAATTTTTTTAATAAATTAAATATCACCAATATTCACGTGTGTAAATTATGTGCCAATTATCTCTAAATTTATTTTGTTTTAACAGACAAATTTAGCTTGATTTATTTTAATTTAAATTCTAATATATTTTAATTATCGATTTGATTATATTTTACAATATTAATTTAATTGTAATTGTTAAATAAAATTTATTGATAAAATTTAAATTTTAATTCAAAACAAGATATTAATAAATATTTAATCAATTGAATTTATTCATGTTATCTTCAAAATAAATTATAAAAGATAGATTTGATTTATATATTTATGAATATTAGTTATACACAAATGTTTGATTTATTAAATATTATAAAAATTAAAGTGAAATAAGAGCAGATAAGTATTTTTTATTGTTTTAACTTATTTCTTACTTCAGAAAACATTTTTTATATTTAAACTATAAATTTTAATAGATAAGATAAAAATTGAATTGCATTTTATATTAATTTTAAATTATATTTTTATAATTTAAATTATTGAAAATTTTAAATATATTAATATAAATATTTTAATTTTTATTGGTAAGAATAAACATATATAAATAGTGTAAAAATAATAATTAAAAATTTAATATGTAAAAGAAATTAGCATGCATGATAAATAACCATGATAATATATCCACTTTTCTTATCTTCAAATAAGAGTCAGACTGTCTGCTTATTTTTAGATAATTTTTTTTATATTTTATAAACTTAATTAAATATTTTGTTATATTTTTTATGAATATGTACTATTCAATTAAATTTTATTATTAGCATGAACCAAACGACTTCGATGATAAAAAAATTGTTGTTATTCTTTAAGATTCCGAAATTGTCTTGTACTTACCTCACATTAATAAAAAAAAACTAAACTTGTTAATATTTTAAACCTTACTATCAAATAAATTTTATTTAACTTCAAATACCATAAACCAATTAACATCGAACAAATATTTCAATTTCTTAATTTGATAATATTTTAGTTCTAAAAGAACAAAACAAAATTTATTTAATGTATTGTTTTGCAAATTTCAACAAAAATAAAAAATGTGATAATATTTTTCACTTCAAATGTGAACTTTAAAAAATTTGGTAATATTGAATAAAATAGTTAATATTAAGTTCTGCTGTCAAAAAAAATAATGGACCAACAAATAAAACAAAGGGAGGAAGCAAAAGCAAAATAAAAGTATGAGAAGCAGATAATTCCAAATATAAAATTCAGATGTGTACCGTGATGGGCCTTGGACTCTTCCTTGGTGCTTAAAAAATGGGTTTATTAAATTTCCAAATGGTCACTTCTGTTTTCTAAGTATTCACTTTCAATTATTGAATTTAAAAAAGTAAATTTTAACCAGTGTTCTCTAGTTTTTTTATGAGATAGAATTTACTAGTTTTATTAAAATATAAAAATATCCAAATTTATAATAAAAGTTTACAACCAAAGCTAAAAAACTAAAATACATAATAAGACTATTTTTCTTTAATCATTAACACAAGAAACTAGTCACTTAAGAATTAAGATCACACAATAATCATACAATATAAGGAAATGATTAAAAATCTATCCAAATAAATTTGAATAAAAGATATATACAACTATATCTGATTGTATTGATAAATAAACCACAAAATAGGATCAAACTATTAAAAGATCATTTACAAACCGTAAATCAGAATCGAGCGATGTGAGAAAACTATTCACAAATGTAAATCTCGTATCCAAATCCAATATGAGGATCAAATCATGGAAGATCAACATGACAACAAATAAGTGTCATCTTGATCAGCCGTAGAAACGTCAAATCTAACCCTGAGAAAAAAAAAAGATAAACAAGAATAACATCTAAATGACCGAAAATGTGCCAAAAGGAAAAGGTAATATGCAATAAAAACATGAAAAACGTGTCATAAAGATAAAATTATTAAAAATTAAGAAACAATAAAAAACAAAGATACAACATAATACATAAAGAAAAATAATATTAAATACCAGCGGTCGACGATCTCAGTGTTGGTGTCGAATATAAAAACTAAAAAAAAGGAAAAAAATACTAGTGACCACGTAAGAAAAATAAAAGAAAATTAGAATTGAAAACCCTAAAGTTCCCATGGTAGTGTTCTCTAGTTAAATTAATTGATAATTGTTTTTTTATTAATTGTTTTGAGACAAACTACATAATTAAATAATAATAATAAAAAAGATTTAGACGAACAATATATTATTAAAAACCAACCTTAACATAAAAAATAATCAATAATAATATATTGTTTTATTATAAATTTATTAAAATATCAATAAATCAGGTATACTAATATTTATTAAATTTAATAATTGATATTCATGCAATTTGTTATACTATTATAATTTAATAAAATATTAACATACCATGTCAAACTAACATAATACGTACGTCACTGAAAATTTATGAATTTGATTATTGTATAGATCTAGGTTTCTAGTGTCTTTAATTTTAAAAAGAATATAAATGATAACTTTATTATTACACTTTATTTTTAAATGAAGTTGGTTTTAATCTAAATTTGTGGATTTTATGATATTTTTCAATGAAATGAACATTATATTCTTTATCTAGGACGTAAAAAATGATTGAACTGAAAACTTTGAGCTTTAAGATTGACAACAACAATGATCGATGGCAAATGACAATAACCGATAAGTGATATTTATCATGGGGAATTTAGATCAGATTCATGGGTGAAATTGATATTTTATAAAAAAAATTAGGAGTCAATTTAGTATTTTATCTAAAATTTAGAGACCAAATTAAAAAATAACCCCTTTATTTATGTACCACATGATCAAACTAATTACATTTAATGTTTCAGTGATCAAAACATTATAAATTGATAATGTATGATTAGAACATAATTTTTAAAAGTATAGTATCATAAAGTAAACACGAATAAAATAAAGTGACCATATCGGTAGTGTACCCTATCAATTTTCAGAAAACGCGTGTACTTCACCTTAAATCCAATATCTCACGATATTTTGCATCGATGATTACGAGAGCCTTACGTGGGAAGCCTAAGTACAGTACCCCTATAAGAACTCTTTAGGTTGACTTTTATATATTTTATTTGAGATTTAAAAAAATATTAAATTATGATGATTTTTTTACGTTTGACAAACATCGATGAATACTATTAATAACGAATATCATTAATTTAATTTATAAAAGTTTAAATTTTAAATGACTCAATGTATAATTATCAATTAATTAAAAAATTAAATATACATTATTTAAAATAAAGTGTATATTATACAGTGAACACTTAACTATGCTCTTTTTTATTTTGACTAATATTTTTAAAATTTTATCAATTATGTCACTCAACTATTTAAATGCATTTCAATTAAGTCATTTGCCATTAATATTTAACAGAGAAACTGATGTGACAGTCAAAATATTCGATATAATTACACATTTGACCACTGTAACTTTTATATTTTATCAATTTGGTCCTAATTTTAATAAATTAAAATAAACTTAACCTTCAAATCAAATGGTGTCATGCATAATGACCCAAAATTTAACCTTTTATTTTAATTTTAAAAGTTACTACATATTCTATATTTATAACAAAACAAAATTTATAAGAAAATCCTTTTATAAAAAATTGAATAACCCAAGCAATAATTTATGATATTAAATTTAAAGCAAACTAAATTTATCGCTCTTTTAATACATGTCAATCTCTTAGTGCAAAAATTTTCATGCTAAGTCCATCGAGAATCTTATCAATATAAATTTTCATGGTAAGAGATGAATTTTTAGAATTTTAAAGAAAGATTGTGCAAACATGAAAGAAATATATGTCACATTCTTCTATTAGAAACTTACTGGATAAAAATTTCTTAGTTTTACATGTTAGACTATGTAACTTTTTTCTAGTAGAATGTCATTTACAAATAGTAGTAGGATAAAAAATTTATCCAGCGAACTTTATATGCATAGGTTAATCAACTATATTTTCCTTAAAACCAAAAGAGGTTATGGTACCATTCACGAGATGCTTCTGAGAACCATAAATGAAATTTTCAGTAAAAATTTTATTTTGTTATAAATATATAATATGTCGTAAATTTTAAAATCTTTTAAAAGTAAAGATTTGAGGGTTAAGTTTATTTTAATTTATTAAAATTATGATCAAATTGATAGAATATATAAGTAATAGTGACCATATGTGTAATTATACCAAATGTTTTAACTGCCACATCAACTTCTCCGTTAAATATTAATAGCAAGGGGCTTAATTGAATGCATTTAAATAGTTGAGCGACATGATTGGTAAAATTTAAAAAATATTGGTTAAAATAAAAAGGGACAACAGTTAGGTGATCACTAGTATAGTATACCTTTTATTTTAAATAATTTATCTTTAAATTTTTAACTATTTTATAACTATACGTTGAATCATTTAGAATTTAAATTTTTATAAATTAAATTAATGGTACTCGTCGTTAGTGGTATTCATCGCTGCTCGTCAAGCGTCATAGAATTTTCCATTAAATTATAGCTTCTCAGTTACTATATTTGAGAATGTAACTTCAACTAAATTGATCTGTGTTGCCCGATATTTGCTCACCAAAATTCCTCGATTATATTGCACAAAATTTATCAATAATTTAACAATTTTGTTTCGTTGCTAAATTCTCATACTATGTAAAAAATGGGCGCCATAAAAGATGTCATCAAAACCTTAATTTTCTTAATGAGATCAACCATCACGGTGAGCCAAGTAAATGGTTTGATG